GAGCGGGAACCGGTCTGTATGTGGGATCCGAACCCTAGGCGGGAGCGCCACTGCACTCCCACGCGGCGCACTGCAGCAGGGCGCCACCGGGCCGGCCCCCATATGATAAGTTTTTAATCCTTTAATTATCTTTATGGTTTTCCCAAAGACTTCAAAGTTTTCAAAATTCCATGGACTCTCCCTGCTAATTTCCCTCTAAATGTAGCTTATTTTATATAATTTATCATATCATGTGTCAATTTCAGTCTCCACTCTTCTGTTAGTTATTGCCCTGGAACAAATGTGTAATTTCTTAGAATTTTACTTTTCTTAAGCATGTAATGGTGTAACAATAGTTACCTCTCGGGTGGTCATGAGGAGGAACTGAAATGATGTATAAAAGTGGCAGAAATACAGTTGCTATTTTGTTTGAAAGTACATGAAAAGTGTAAGAAGAAATCTCTCTATTACAAAAGCATAGTTAAACTGTAACATTTTATATCTCTATTTACTTCTAATGTTGTACAAAACAGGTGCCTCCCCATAATGAATATTCACTTGCAGTCAGTTATTTTGTTGTTGTGTAAATAGTGTGGTTTGTTTGAGAATTGCTCAGTAGCAGTTTATTTACGTCATTTACTTTGATTGGACCTGTGGATTTATTTATCAGTGGAAAAGTAATGATCAAAGATCCAGGTTTAGATCTTTTGATGTGCAAAAGTTAAGTGTCAGAGGCATGACAGTAATTTGTGTGTCTGTAAAGAAGTCGTTTTTTCAAGTGTGTGGGTCCAGCTGGTTTACATTAATTAATTTATATTTCCATTCAACACATCTATTTCCTGCATGCCCAGCACTCTGCAGAGATGAATAAGCTGAGCACCTTGCCTCTATTACCTAAAAGATCCTATATAATGAAGCCACAACTTTTATCATTCAATAGGAAAATAAAACCATTATTTCTATATAGTTACTAGCATGCTGCTTCCAGCATTTTGCTTGAATAGGAAGAAGGGCTGTATTTAATATCTGAGGAAACTATCCAAAAAGTAATGAGCATTGTAAAATACTATTTGTACTTATTCTGTTGCCCCCTAAGACATGAGGAGGAAGAGAAATGTGTCTCATAGGATAGAATGAATAAATCAGAACCTACAATGTGCCTGTTGTTCTTACTGCTTTTAGAAACTGCTATTTAGGCCACCAATTCTTTCTTTGTTGGCAAATTGACTTACTTTTTCTTTTTTATCTCTCTGTTGCATTTAACTCTTAGCAACATTGGCCTTTTCTAAAGTTCAGAAAAGTTTATTAAATGTAGAAATGAAAGAAAGGGAGAGAGACAGAAAAGAGAGAGAAAATCAGAAAGAGAGATAAGGAGGGAGGGAGGGCGGGCTAGGGGGGAGAGCAATGCAGATGACTTTGTCTTCCCCTCCCATACACCATGTTGCTGGTTCTCCTACAGTCCAACCAGCTTTTCTCTTCCCCCAGCCCTTTGCAGTCTCTGACATTTTCCAAGGCTCAGAACTTCACCCTCTACTTGTTTTCTTTATTATTTGTAGCTTCTTCTCCAGATCATTACTATTTCTGTGGTTACAGTTACCATGTTTACTCTAATGACACTCAAATATAAAATCTGTCCTTTCCTTCCATCTGAACTGTGGTCCTACATTGCTAATAGATCTTTTAAACCCCAAACAAATAGGGCCGAACCCATGGTGCACTCNTGCTGAAAATCATAAAGAGGGAAATTAAAATACAATAATTTTTAAATGCATAATTTGCTTTAGTATTCTCCCCAATATGCTGGCAATATTCGTATTATTTCTACATGTTGATTAACCATTTCTGGTGGTTCTTTTGGGAAAAAAAGAAAATGGTATTTCTTCCAACCTTACTTTGCCAAGGATTAATCTGCAGGTGTATTGTTCCTTAGGCTCTGCTAAATTATTTGATTGATTTCTCTTTTTCCTTATTTATAAAAGACTGAAGGTGGTGCTATAGATATCTACTGCTGACTAACAAAACACCCCAAAATGTAGTAACACCCCAAAATGTCGTGGCTTAAACACAACT